ACTAGGCGACCTGTCATTCTCTCAGCCTAACATATCTCTTAGGGTCAACATGAGGGCAAAAGGAAGGAGACTGAGAAGTATGTGTGCTGCCTTGAGCGCCATGGAAGGAGAGTAGAATAAAAATGTAATAGATAGATGGGTTTAAAAAGAAAGAAAAAAAATCATGTTTACCAACAACTGTTAGCTATGAGATGGCTAAAGGAAACTTTCACAGTCAGAGAAAGCATACCTCTGAATAGCTGTTGCTGGGAGGGGGACAGCGGGGGGGGGGTTGGTTTCTGTGGCCTACTAGGACATCTGAGTTTCCCAATCAATTTCCAATACTGGTGTTGACCTGCCTGCCTGTGCCCAGCTCAGGAGGATGCAGTTTTCCATACCCTGATGGCATCTTCAAAGCTGTCTGTTTCTCTAGGGAAGACTGTGTTCTACTGCACCAAGGAAAGCGTGAAACAACAGCTCCGCTCCATCTATCGTGGGCCCAGAGGGCAGAAATCACTCAAGCCAACTCACCAATCCACCCAGATGCCTCATTACCAATGGGAGAAAAATGAGACTGAACGGTATGACGACTGCATACCTGCTAACATCTGACAGTCAGAAACAGGGATACGCACTAACACCCACATTCTTGCTGCAAGGACAACGGCCTGAGGCCTGCCCCCATTCTTTTACTATTAAGAATGCATAAAACTCTAACCGTGAATCTGGTTGTACAGAACAATTACCTCAAAAGAAATGCATTCTGCACCGATGATTTGGATAAGCTGTCAGGGAAAGGGAGATTTGTTTTCCTTACATAATACTATTTTTCCTCAACCTTTTGGGGTTTTTTTGGACTTTGGTTTGGCTATAGGCTTATTTTCGCCTCCTTTCCCACAGCTTAGGTTTTAACACCTGGATAGAATGGTGTATGTCCCAAACCTGGACCTAGATGCCCACAGTCTGTTTGAAGAATCCTTGAGGAAGTGACGGGGTTCCCATGCAAAGCTTGTGATGTCTCCAATAGCAATGGCGGCCCATTGCTATGGGAGACATACCCCAGGGGAAGGTTTCTCTAAAGCGGCAGGCACTGAACTCCCTATTTTCTCCCTTTTTCTCCAAGATGTCGAAAGCAACTTGTCTCTTCAAGATGCTTTCGACATCCTGGAGAAAAGGGAGGAAAGAAGAGTTCTTGAGAGAGTTCGGTGCCTGCTATTGGGCTGCTTCAGAGAAACTGTATGTGCTAACGTCTTCTTGCCCTTTGGGTTTGCCTACCCCCTTCCCCTGGGGTATGTCTCCCATAGCAACCTGGAATGAAGATGGATATAGGATTTTAGTGCACTAGACAACAGAGCACTGTACTTTGACCGGACCCAAACATTTCAGAAGTCTCTATGGAGCTGACTGTGCTGGATTCAGTAATCTCTGTAGGTTTGTCCTTTGGTACCAACACTCCTCATTCCCTCAGCCAAGCTAGCCAGCCATTATATTCCATGCCAGTGTAGGTCCATTCCTGCCTATTCTCTTAGCCAGTCTAACCTCCTTTGCCTTGCAGCCACACACTTTCAGACTGAGGCTCACCAAATTCTTTTGGTTAACAACTCTTTAGACACTGGTGGCAAAGACTGTTCTAAGATGGCAGGATGCACAGGGGGGGGGTACAGTCCTGGCAACAGTGGGTACATAAAGCAGAGCCCCACAGGTTGATCAGAGAGTATGAGTATGGGTGCCCTTTCCTAATGAGCAGTTCCATCCTGAAACTGGTCTGTGATGTGCCTTGGTGAGTATTGCGGTGGAGGGTATTCGATAATGCATGTCGCTGTGGAAAAGGCTCTGAGTGCCACATGGTTTTATTTCCTGAAACTGGAAGATGAAAGAGAGCCCCCCCTCCCACCTTTGCCATCCTCAAGGAAAATTTGTGCTGGAGAAGATGCTCTGATGGTGTACACTTCACCCAAGCTGAATGCACTCTGTTTCCTTTACACCCTAGGGCAAACACCAAAACGGATGCCAGCTGCCCCATGGGTAGTGAGTTCTTGAAAAGCAAGCACCCAGACACCACCCCCCACGGACTCACAAGCCTACTGCACAAGATCAATAAGTTGGTGCTTGACAACGAAATGGAGACGGGATCCCTTTGCGCCCCACCAGGGTTTCCACACAGTTCCCAGCTGCAGCATCAACCACCTCCCTCAAAATCAAGCCTCCCAGCAGCCGTCTTGCAGAGGCGGGGCAGTTCTAAGGACAGGAAGACAAGCCCAGAAGGGGGGCACTTGGAACAAGGATCCAGCCCAGACGTGTCTCTACAAGGCGCTACTGGGAATGTGCTCACAGTGTCCCCCACTAGCTCCACAGAGCCAAGACCCTTGTCGGCCAAGGACTGCTCTGGGAAAGTTTTGAGTAAGAAACCTGGGGGAGAAGGCAACCAAAATGGAGACTTTTCCAAGAAAGAGGATGCTGCTGAAATAATGCTGGAGGTCAGCGCAAGCAGCAAAGGGGGTGTAGCTCATACTCAGAGCACCAGCGCCATGCCAGCTTTCCATCAGTTTCCATCCAAGGACAACGTGAATGTGGAGGTGCCCCCCAGTGCTTGCTCAAACACCATCCAATGCCTAGCTGAGGAGAGACAGCAGGAACCATTTCCTGTACCCTTCAGCCAACCTTCAGCAAGAGAAGAAAAGATCTCCGGAACTCTAGCGCACTGCTCCTCTGGACAGAAGAGACAGGCCTACTCTTTTGTAACTGTGGGAAGCAAATAGTATGAGCCCATGAGTGTGTGGACACTTGGTAGGCCTCAGGCACAGGAGCCCCACTGCTGGATTAAGCTCAACAAAGAAGTGGCTCCACTGAGGGGTTTCCTTTCAGCTCGGCCGGGACTAGGAACATGAAAGGCCCCATTGAAAATAAAATTGTTTCACAAAATCTGCTCGCAAAGGGGTTTTTTTTTGACAATTGAACCTGCCCCTTGTTTTTAACTATCTCACTCAAAAAGCATGTCTAAGCTTAATTAAAAAAAAAAAGTTGGCAAAGGGTCATTTGGCTTTGAAATTAAAAAAAAATGGCACCTGAAAACCAATTGCAAATAGTGACCTGCACAGCATGAACAAAAACTGGGACTTATGACATAATCCCAAGTTGCACATGGAGAACTGTTCTTGCAGCAGGGTCCCCCCCGTCCAAGCACCATTGCAAAGGGGGCTTTTAAACTCTCCCTGAGCTGTGCTGAAGCGTTTTCAATCTTGTTTTGGGGCTTTAAACCACTTCTCTGCATTCCGAGGCTAAGCCGAATGTGGCTTAGTCTTGCTGTGAGACAGGCCAAACTCTGAGCACTTTTAATAACCTTGTCTTCTTGTGTAGTAATGCCCGTGCTTTCATTTTAGTGCCATCCGCCCTCGTAGCCCATTGCCACTAATCTGTTGGGTGGGAAACCTCTTGCCAAAAGCCTTAGCATGGGTGTCCAAACAGAAACACAGAGCCGGCTAAAGTTGCTGCAGCCCAGCGGGATCCTGCCCAATACCTGGACTGGTCATGGATGTGTGTGAACTTTGGTTTCTCCCAACATTTTAGATTAGCTCAATCAGAATTAGCGGAAGATAAGCATTGACTAGCCATTTCGGGTTGCCAGAGAGCTGGGTTTTGCCCAGCTTCTAGGCAGGTAACATGACACCCATTTGTGGCATTCACTGGCAGAGTTCTGAGCTCACTCATTCTTTTTTTGACGTTCTTAGCCTTTCTATCAGTGAGCTATTCACCTTATTTAAAACATTTGCCTCTTGCAGGACTCAGAGTGGCTTACAAACCTAAAAACACAATCTAAAATCTCAGTATGACGATAAGACAAAAAGAGCCCCTCTAGAGAATTCCGATCAGGACAGTTCTACTACTCATCACAGACTGTTAGAAATGTGCCTGGACAAGTTGGCTACACACAACTGCAGAAGTCCCTGGAGGAGAGCAGTCCTAAGCACGTCTGCTCAGAGTCCTGCTCAGATCTCTCCAATGGGGCTTTACAGAGGAAGGGAAGGAGACTGTAAGCTGCTTAAAGGCTCCTTACGGTAGAGAAGAGCGGGGGATTAAGACCAACTCTTCTTCTGTTCTACCCTCAGGAAAGTGTATTTGGGATTGCACTGTCAGGATAGGATGACTAAGGCACAGAGCACCGAGTAGCAGCTCCTTCTAAGCCTGCACCAGGCATTGGGGGCAATGGGCAAGTGGGAAAGCTACAAAATCGTGGCAGGACATTTTCCCTTGATAAACAGCCTGAGATAGAAAGGGAAACACACTCATCTCACCATAAAGCAAACACAATGATTTGGTAAGGACATTAGAAAGGGGGGGGGGCTAGAGAGAGAGAGAGAGAGTGTGTAAGGGTTGGTTTGGACACTAGAGACATCTCTGTATGGAAAAAACATCACAGACAAATGGAGGAAGTGATGTTTGACCAAGTATTTCCATGGCTGCAGGCACTGTTTGTTGGCTGGCCAACCATTTTTCAGCTGCTGACTTCATGTACAAAGCAGCATCCCCAAATCTCCCCCCTGCAAGGGGTCTCTCTGAGGCTAATCCTTGTAGAGGTATTTCCCAGCCTCTGAAGCAGTCTCGCATTTCTGCATAGTCCAAGCGGCATAGGAAGCAGGAATGGGGAGGCCCTCCACACGTCAGTGTTGGAGGCAATCTGTTTTTTGGTTTCGATTATAGATGCCAAGCCTCTGTACATAAAGCCCATGCTTTATATGCAGAAGGTCTGTGGTTCAATCTTTGGCATCTCCAGTTAGAGAAGCTTAAGTAAATCTTAGTAGCAGGTGCTGAGAAAGACCCTTCCCCGCTGGAAGCCCTGGAGAACCACTGCCAGTCCAAGTACACAAAACTGAACTAGATGGACCGCCCTCCAGCCCCTAAAGTGCACAGGAGCCAAGTCCCACAAAGACCACCAAAAGGGAGGATTCTGCAACCAGGAAAAAATAAGCCACAAAGTACAAGGTTATGCAAACAACTAGGCCTTAAATGTTTTATTTGTTCGCCCTAGTCAAAGGAAAACAAGTTTCACAAATCATTCCCATTCATTAAATTACCTTTATTCTTTTGTTAAAAAAAGGAAATTGTATCTGGTTTTAAGGCCTTCTAATCCTTAAAAAAGAGACACACTGAACTGCTCCCATGAAAGCATCCTTCACAGCAGAGCTGTCTTCTTGGGAGATACAAGAACTGAGATTAAGCCGCCCGGGCCAGGCAGAGTCCTTCCGAGAGACAGCTGACAGATTCATGCTGAACCTCAAACCAGATGTGGGCTCATCACCCTTGGCTCTTCCGTCTGCAGGACCAGGGAAGGCACTGCCTAGAGGGGAGCTGGGGTGGGGACTGTCGGTAGAGGCAAGTCCATGGACGGGGCGTCAGCCACCTGGGCTGGGCTGGGCTTGCGGAGTTCCAGTTTCTCGCTGAGCTGGCTGTGCAGCTCCTTCACAGCTTCGCCACTCTGAAAAAAAGAAAAAAAAGCATTAATCACACTTTATCCCAGCTGCTACAAGAGGGAAGCTAAACACTGCTATTAGTGGGGGTGTTTTTCACACACACATTAAATCAAAAAGGATGTGTCTCTTTCTGTGTGTGCCCAAACACAGATATGATCTCAGGCTCCAAACAAGCGTGGGCCCAGATGTTGTCATTCTTGGCAAAACCGCTGCTTGCATTTGCTGGACTTTCAGACTAGAGATTCCTCTCCGGCTGCTTACCTGTTTGGTGGGCTCCAACGACTTCTGCAAGGTCTCCAACTGGGCAGGAGCTACTTTGTGATGCAGGTGAAGCAGCAGCCGCAGCACGTGCTTCTGTACGTTCTCTTTCCTGTTAAGGAGCAGAAGGGATTAAGAGGCAGTCCAACTGGTTTGTTTCCAACCATCACACAACAAAGGTCTGTTTAGAACCACAAGGAGGCGTAAGCAAAGGAAAAACAAAACAAAATGGAGTCCTATTTGTTACATTCATTTAGAGTAACCAAATTAAGGAGAATATGAATGAGTGAATCACATTTATTTACTATTTATTTATTATATTAGGCTTTTATATTGCCTTCCCCGCAAGCGGGCTCAGTTTTCCCCCACTAGTGCTTAGTGATATGGTTAGAAATATCAAAGTGGTTCAAGAGAGACAGGAGAAAGCAGGCAATACAAAACTGACGTAATAGCTTTCCAATCATCAACATCAAACAGACCTACACCAGAAAAGGTTTAAGTGGATGTCAGAGAGAAGCTTTCCCAGAGAAATCACTGGAAACCAAAAAATGAATGTAACAATGAAAGTAAATATGAATAATAATGAAAACTAATGAACTTTGAATTTTTTGGCATATATTCAAGAAAAATACAAATTATAATAGAGAAAACTATCACTGTGACTATGAATACAAAGAATAGGGGACTGTTATCTAGAACGCTAGATAATCACTTATCAAAAATCTCCACAGCTTATATATCAAACCATCTCTGCAACATGGGCCAGCAACAGAATGAAGGTACTTATTTCTAGTTTTCTCCACAGCTACAGCAAACAAAGCTATCCAGCAGGGGATACATTTTTCAACCAAGAATGGACAATATCTTTGGCTGCGCTTAGGCTGTGCTTGCATAAATGCTGAACATATTACAGTACAGCCCACTCAAAAGCATCCATGACTATTATCACTGCTATCAATAACTATTTCTAATCCACCCACAATTAACTAGCCACTGCTCAGAAAACAAAAAAGACATACAGGCCCTGCTGCCAGGATTATATAGTAAGACACTGCAGACATTGCCAAGTGCCCTTGAAAACCATCTTGTGTAGCCTGTGGGTGCTCCTTAAAATTGGTACAATTTCTAGCTTTAACTGCTGCTTTGCCTCCCTGTGCAGCATGCAAGCAGATATGGAACTGATGACCAGAAGCAGCAACAGAGCAACCTAAGGCCACAGTGGGTCCTGCAGCTTTAAGACCAATGGGAATCAGGTGACTCAAAGAGCCAATTAAATCTCAAGTGGCCTTATTTAGGTGCAGACTTGGGCCTTCTTCCTCAGGGAGTATTCTTATGCAGGTTTACTTTGAATTCTACTCAAGTGGATTCAAAGGGGGTTAGTCCCAGGAGAGCATTGGTAGGATTGCAGTTTCCATCTGAGCCGCTCCATACATAGTGTGGATTAAGCAGTTCATAGGAAGTGTATAGTCCTGCTTGGACCTCTACCAACCAGCTGAGTTGTTTACTTGCATGCCTCCAACTTTGACAACAACATGTGCAACGACTGTAGCACTCTTGACACCCATGAGACCTCCAAATATGGATCAGGCAAAAGCTCTTTTGGCTCATCGGTTCAAAACCCAATTTCATTCTGAAGTGTGATAGTTTCCACCTGCTCTACTGGAAGGGAAGCCAAATCTCAGGCACTGGCAAGCATTTCCATGACCTCCAATGCAAGTCTCTCAATTTACATCAGATTAATTTAACAATGAGCCAACATTACAACAGCTTTTGCTATATACTGCTTGGCTTTATTTCGGAGAGCCAGCTGGTTTGAAACATGCCTTTTCACTACAGGCATCGCCGTGCAAAATTTCTCACATTCAGCAATGTCAAGCATGGCTGTTTCCGAAAGAGGACGTTACCTTGTGCAGGCAGCAAGGAAGAAGTTGTCAAAGAGACTGGTACAGAACTCTTCTTGCGCAAATTCGTCAGCAAGGAGGGTGAGGTTGCCGGTGAACAGGTGCAGGAAAATGTCGCTGAAGGCCAGGTCGTTGAAGGTCTCTGCTGCAAAATGCCAAAGAACACACAGAGGAAACCCCCCGGTTGTCCTTATTTAGGATATTTGCATTCTCTATAAAGTGCCTGAAGCAGCTTGCAGGAATAAAATCAAAGCATAAACATTTATAGAATCAGCAAAAGCATGACAGTTCTGTAAAATTTAAAATTTAAAGCAACTTTAACCAACAAGCAACAGCTCCATGCCCACTGGAGCCAATCACACTGATTGGGTGCTAACCAATAAAGGAGGATGAGTGAGTCCAGAGGTCATTTTGGGGGGGAACGCGGGGGAACGCAGTTCCCCCGGGTGAGGTGCAGGGGGGCGGGGCACATGACAAAGCCCCGCCCCCTGCTTCCGGCTGCCCCGCTTCCAGCCCTCATTCAGCCAGGAGGAGGCAGGAGAAGAGGGAGGGTAAGTTGCTTCCCCCCCGCCTCTCCCCACCCCTGCCTGCCTGGGGCCAGGGAGGGCCTTGGCGGGGCTTCCTCGCACTCCCGCTGGCCTTGCAGGTCCACCGCCGGGCCCCTGATGTCAGGGGGTGTGGCATATGCTAATGAGTTATGCTAATGAGTTCCCCTAGCTCTTTTTCTACGAAATGACCCCTGAGTGAGTCTGCCTCTGGCTGATTAACAATAGGTACTGCTGAAAGGGAGCTGCTCAGTAATACGCCATCTATACTGTCTGGGTTTCCAGGTATCCCATGCATCCCAGAGAGCGGACAGTGAGTCTCTCTTGCCTTTCTGGAAGGGAAAAAACCAAGGGCTAAGCAAGTTCTATCTGCTCAGTTCCGCATCCTTGCCTGAGAAGTCCACTAACAGGAGGTGGTAAGGGCAGTGCCAAAGGACATCGACCAGAAAAGGGAGCTGTCTTCCTGGATGATCTTAGCACGCCATGTAAACCATGTTCTTTCTGGCCCTGCTTCTAGCATTACGTTTGATCGTATGGTAAAGATTTTTGTAAGATGTTTCAGAGAACCTTAGAATTACAAAGAAAGATCTATAAATGGTGACCAAAGCCACCAGCACTGGGCTCAGTACTGGCAAACTCATTTCTGCAACATGCTTTGCTGGAAATAAGGGATGTGGTCACTGAAAAGCCGGCTCACCTAGTGATGGGAGCAACCGGAGAAGAGCATTCTTATTCCTCTGCTTAGTTATGT